ATCCTTTAGAGAATGTTTTTGTTTTAGCAGGCAGCCAACTATGTTTAGACTACAATTTGTGTTTTACTTTCTGGAGGCACTGGCTTAACTTTCAGTTCAATTTTCTAAGTCTTTTCTATGCTGTTTTGCATCTATTCCATGTATATATAGTTCCAGGCTTAGGCTGAGACTTGTGTAGGATCCCCCTCAAACTCTTCATCCCACAGAGGCCCCCTTCCCTGGTTCCTCTGTGCAGGAAATATGGGGTTTCTCTTGAAGTTTTAGCTGCCAAGGCTGCCATGCCATGATGTGACTGCCCTTGGGGCAAAGATGCATGAGAAAAGAAAATGGTAGATTCATCTCATGTGGGTCCCACCCCACAATCTGACTGCTTTTGTTTATTTTTCAGAATCCTTAGTAGTTTTTTGTATTTTGTCTTTTTTGTTTAAGTTGTAATCAGTGGGAGGGATGGGCAGCAGTGGTTTTATGGTACCAGAGTGGAACCAGGATTTTCACCCTAATTTTTGAAGAATATTTTTGCTGGGTATAGAAAAATAGGTTGGCAGTCATTTACTTTCAGCACTTTAAAGATGTCTTTCCAGTGTTTTCTGACATCACAGTTTCTGTTCAGAAGACCACTGTCAGTTTCTCACTGTTGCTCCTTTGAAAGTAATGTATCTCTTTTCTCTGGCTCAAGATTTTTGCTTTGTATTTCATTTTCATTTATTTTAATATTAGATGACTAAGTATGGTTTTTTTGTATTTATTCTTCTTGACATTTGCAGAACTTGTTAAATATGTGAACTGACATCTTTAATCACTTTTGGAAAATCCTTGGCAATTAGCTTTTATTTTATTTATTTTTTTTAGGATGGACCAATCCTTTATTTTTACATACTTTGACAAAGAGGTTTTCAGTAAATAATCTTTTCCAGTGGAGGAGAACATGAAAATCAGCCTCCAGCCATCAGCTGCTGCTCTGTTCAGGGCCTAGGCTCCCCCTTGCTTGAATGGTGAGGTGGAGGGGTGTACTTCCCTTCCTTTATTAGCTTATCCTGCTGCTTCGTGATGGTACTCACATGTCTCATTGTTTTGTGCCGAAGCAGACTTTCAACAAAATCATCAAATTCTATCTTGCACTCTTCCTCTGCCTGGATACCACCAATTCCATGTGCACATTCTATCCATTCTTTTTCAAAAGCATGTCATTGAGCAGGAAACCTGTAGGGCTGTTCAGCACTT